GACCTACCATGCCATGGACACAGCTGTAAACCATCCACATTCCCTTCATATATATTGATAAGAAGGAAGATCCATTCAGACAGCTTCATTCTAAGAGCCACTGCTTTGTGCTTCAAACTCCCAAGGAGATATTTTTCTGAACATTACAATATTAGCCTCAACAAGTCTAGTGCCAACCATTACCTATTGTATCTTTTTTTTAAAATCATTTCACTTCCAAGCAAGGCGCTAATGTCACTAAGATGCAAAAGATTACTGGGGGTGAAAGAAAATGAGAAGACTTTGGGAGAAGAAACTGGAAACCCAAACCTAAACAGAAAACAAAGGATAAATCTCTACTTCTGTTCAAAAGACAGGGAAGGAGTGTGAACTGGGCAATAAGTGAACCTATCTAGTTCTATAAAAAAAATTGGTAAATAAAATTTCAGAGTGTAGCCTGGGATGTTAAAAGTTAATTAAGAGCATGTGTGATTCAAGTGCATGTATTCAGGTAGAGATAGTTAATTATGTAACTGCTGTTTATAAATTAATTTTAACTATATATTTAGATTTTAACATAGTTTAAGTTGCATTATAACTGATAAATAAAAAGGCAAGGGAAAACTTAATTACCAGTCAAACAATATTTTTAAACACTGGGGAGAGGAAAAAGTTAAGATAATGAATGTACTGTAAATTGCAGTCAGATTTTCAAGCCTAAAATAATATTTCCCAAACTAGGGGTTTGACTTATATGGTAGGTATAAAATAAAAACCTTTACCACCAAATTGTAAACAGCTGGAACAACACCCATAACAATTACTGTATACTATAGTGTTTTATAATAACATAAGATGCATAGCAGTACTATAAAAACAAACTACCTGGTATGATGTGTAATCTATGGTATTAATATTTTATAGGAATTGATGATGACTTTAATGTGTTTATCAGTAGACCTGACAAATTTTGAAATGTTCACTAAGTTATACTTATACAATACAATTCATGTAGGAAGATATTATGGTTAGTGTCTCAGTATACAGATAAGTGGTGTGACCTTATGTAGTTTTGACACAGGTTAATGTATACTTATTGATAAGAAAGAAGATCCATTCAGACGGCTTCATTCTAAGAGCCACTGCTTTGTGGAACAAACTCCCAAGGAGATATTTTTCTGAACATTACAATTATAAGAAGTGTTGATGGATTCAGCCTAACTTCATTTACCAGTAAGTATAAGTTTTAGGCCACTGGTAGCCTATTGTATGTTTGGGGGTCAACCTATATGGTAGGAATAGGCCTAACCCCAAATTTTGTGCTAAAAATCTTAAGGTCAACTTGTACACCAGGTCGACTAGTACACTGCAATTTACAGTATGTGTAATATATACATGTATATATGTACTTTATTCAAAAATTATATATATATATATATATATATATATATATATAAAATTTATTCAAAAATTATAACATTATAACACTTTTGGTGTCTTATCAAGTGATGGTGTTGATAAGACACCAGAAGTGTTGAAACAAAATGCCTATTTTTGCAGTGATTTTATAACATAGTTATGTTATAATTTTTGAATAAAATATATTTGCTCTACTCTGTATTGAGCACTCTTTTAGGAATAGTATTTTTTTGGTTATTGGAATTTATTCCGTATGCAACAATCCTATACTTGTGTGTATATATATATATATATATATATATATATATATATATATATATATATGTATGTATAAAGGTAAAAGACAATAAAAAACAGTATTATTAGCCGACACGTTTCATCCAATGTGGACTTTTTCAAGGCAAAAATGAAATGAATTTATTAAAAACAAAGTAACAATTAACAATAAAACAAAATGTCCTTAGCAACTAGAAGAGTTTAGAAAATGCTATTGTATTCATATTGTCAACTGAAAATTATGTCAAGTACTATCATATGTGCAAATATTGTTTTTATTGTTGTGTTCATGGATTCAACCATTTTCTTTTGATTTCTTGATATAGTTGTGTACGTTTGCTTTGGAGAGTAGTTATTCTGATAGGAAAGGTGATATTGGGAAAAAGCTTGGGCGTAGATTAATATTGCCTTGAAAAAGTTCACATTGGATGAAATGTTTCAGTTAATAATACAGTTTTCCTATTGTCTTTTACTTTTATAAATATTGTCTTTTTCTACAGGTTAACTCTGAGAAATTTTTTCATATATATATATATATATATATATATATATATATATATATTTTTTATTAAAGACATTTTATGTTTTAACATTCTTTTTATAGATACAAGTATTTAAGTAAATGCTCTGTTTATAATAAACAGTATTAAATAACATTTACCAGCCTGAATGTCCAGAAACTTTCGTAGAAAATATTCGTCCTTTGAAAATTTCTCAGACATTCAGGCCGGTAAATGTTATTTAATACTGTTTATTATAAACAGACCATTTACTTAAATACTTGTATCTATAAAAAAAGAACGTTAAACATAAAAATGTCTTTAATAAAAATAAATTGTCGGACTTTGTCCATTTCTTAATATATATATATATATATATATATATATATATATATATATTTATTTATGTAGTTGTGTAATTATGTATAATATTATATATTAAACAAATAAATAAAGAAGCAAAAGAAAATCCTTCCATTTGCTCCCCCCCCCATGCTCATATAACAACCTCATTAGTAACTTCCTACTTTAAGTGGCTCTTATGCTTTGTACTTTGTGAATATTTCGTAAAAAAAGAAGAAATCAAGCTAAATCAGTCTCTCCATACAATCTTGCTAAGAATACAGGTAAAATGGTTGGCTCCCTGTACCGCTCTAGTAAGTACCTGACTCTTCCTGCTATTTTCTACCTTTACAAGAGCCAGATCAGCCCTAAAATGGAGTACCTTTTTTTACTGTTAGAGTCACACTGTCATATTTGGGCAGGAGTTACCCAAATATGACAGTAGTACTTCTGCTATCCTCTACCTTTACAAGAGCCAGATCAGGCCAAAAATGGAGTAATGTTGTCATATCTAGGCAGGAGATGCCAATACCTCACTCTCCAGCCTTGATAGAGTTCAAAAGCATCTCTGAACCCTTGTGGGTGATGAATTATTCTCCAGCCTTCAATCTCTCTTACCCAGGCAGGATTTGGCAAGCCTCTTGATGCTCTACCACTACTTCCAAGGAAAATTTTCAGATGAACTACATTCCCTGGTCTTGCCAAGGCAAACCTTCATGGCAAGAACATGCCATACCATTTACATAGTAGCAAACCACCTGCATTCCTTCTGTATTCCATCGGTGAGAATTAAATTCCACTTGAGCAGCTTCTTCCCACGAACCACTGCCCTATAGAATTGACTCCCAATGGGATGTTTTCCCAACCACTACAATCTTAACTTATTCAAGACTAAGGTTAATCATTATCTCCCTCACCTATACACACAAATAGCCTCCTAACATAAACCTCTACCTTGAGTGGCCCCTGGGCTTTGTAAAGAGTGACCTTCACTGTAAAAAGAAAAGGTATGCTCAAATTTGTTGCAGTATAAACCACAAGTTTGCACTGTAGTTGTTGAAGAAACACAAATGTGCCTGAACAAGCATCTGCAACAGGGAATAGTTAGCCACCCTCTCAGACAGGCATACTTGTATACAAAGTGCCAGCCATGCAAGTTGCCCACAAAGAACATTTAGATAAAGATAGATATGTCATTTTTTTAGCTTTTTTTAATTTACTCAGTACAAGGTCCAAGAACCAGTCAGGGTAAAGGATGACTGAGTGAGATTGTTGTATGGGTGTAACATTAGGGAAAGGGGTTGCATATTATGATGATATGTAGGATAGATATTGGTTGACTGTAGACTTCAAGAGGTTATGATGTAGTGCTTGTAGAAGCATATTCTCGGGGGCCTATTACACAAAGTGACAGTACTGGGGAAGAAGTTGATTGTCTAGAAACTTCTTACCAAATGAATACGAAGAGAATGAGGATAATTTGGTGATGTGTATGGAGCATGGTGGGTCGTCTGAACTGATGGAACCAAAGAATGTAGCTCGTTTGAACATTTGCAATAGCAATAGAGAAATGAGAAATTAGCAACATTTTATCTATGAGATTTTTGCCAGGATCTATCTCACACATTTATAAGTCTACCATTCATACATGTATTGAATATTGCTGCTATATCTGATCTAGTGCTTTGTCTATATATTTAGATATTCTTGATAAAATACAAAAAAGAATATGCAATGTTATCAGTCATGACCTGGCATCTCTACTTCAGTCACTTTTCCATCACTGTAATGTAGCTTTTCTGTGCCTTTTCTATAAACATTTACATGGTAATTGTCCTGAAGAGATTTCCTCTTTGATATGTAGACTTTATGAATTCAAGGGCAGTACTAGATTGGCAGCTAGGTCTCATCATTTTGCAGTTGAAATTACTAGATATAAATGTAAGTTCTATGCTAACAGCTTCTTCTCTTATACTTCTTGTTGTGGAACTCTCTTCCAGATTTTTACTACCCAGTCAACTTTGAACTTTAAAAATTTAAATGCAATGTCAATCACTATCTACTGTCTTCCTGATTAGTTAAATTTAAGTGCAATGTCAAAGGTTATTTTTATCTCTTTAAAATCCTTTTCTTTTATTGTCCTCTCTCCTTAATGTTTTTTTTCTGATACTCTTTCACTTCCAGTAACTACTTGCATCTTAGTGGCTTTATTGCCTTGCTTGGGGTGAAATGATTAAAAAGGAACTGCTTTTGAACTTTGTCAAGGCTGAAAAGCAAGGACTGGGTAGTATCAGCCCTGATATGGCAGCAATACTCCATTCTTGGTTTGATATGACTTTTAATGAAAACTTAAACATAGGAATTTTATTTGGTATGGAGTTATGTACAAGCAAACTGATCAGTATACACAAGCATGCCAGAAACAATGACACCATTTGCATCAGTGACAATGACCATTATCCTTGATTACCAAAAAATACTTACCACAATGAGGAGTGCTTCTGGTCCTGGTGCCACTGATTTCATTACCATTGAGGTCGACACACCAGCAGATCCCCTTGTGACATTGGCGTTTTTCATAATAACCATCTCGGTCACAATGAGGCACAAATGTAGCTGCAAAAAGGAGAGAAAATTCTAAATTCAAATTCTTGCAGAAAGATTATTGCTCAATCAGCCTTCATAATAAGACAATGATGATTATACAACTATAAATGAGCCAGTTTCAAAAGAGAAAAAAAATTCCTTGAAAGGCAAAGCCAGATTTTGCTGGATATTATTGTTTTCCAAATAAAGCTGTTATCAGTGCCAGCATGTAATACCTCTGAACTTCAAGCCTGATTGTGGCCCCCATGTAATGCTTTGTGACCCTTGCTATTTTATAAACATTGACTTTTTTCTACCTACATTTATATACATTACAAATGAAACTAAGCATAACTATTATAGAATGAAAAGTTTTTTGAGGATTTTGATGTCATTCTGGGGTATTTTTCCCATCCAAATTCATGAATTTGTTTTGCTCATGCTAAGCTTTGAAAAAACACCATATAAAATTTGCTATATTTTTATCCCTAATGTTGAATGTGATAAAATTATTCAAATTTGTAACAAGAAAAATCTCAAGTTGATGTTAAAAATTGCCCCAAAACATTGTCGATTTATTTAAGATGGAATGATCTATTATGACATATCTCTAATATGTATTTAGATACATTGTATTTATTTTCAATTTTTCCAGTTGAATTGTTCACGTATATATTGCATGTGATACATTATTGTACATAATTAGGTTAGAATAAAATTTGTATTTTATATGAATACTACCTTATGAAAATTAAGATATAGTAGAGTTGGGGGGGGGTTGTATCATAGATTTGGTGGGGGCCTAAAAGATCTTTGCACCAGTTCTGGCTGTTATATCAATATGAGTTGCATTCATACTTGATCTGTCACAATCTGTTTCTCTGTGATTTTAATGCATTTCTATAAAAAAATAATCATTACTAATGCATTTACATTATACATATCATTAACCTTATTTTTACTATTTACATATGGACTATTGTCCTCAACTTTGCTGTTGTTATTACAAGTTTCGACTGTTGTACCCTCAAGCCTTCTTCAGGTGTATATGGATTAGGGTAACCTACAGGGAATTCCACCTTAGTAGGCTGGGCATCGAAATAAATACGATATCGGAGCTGCAAATAAAGAAAGAAGGACAAATTACAACAAGTCTTCAAAAGCCGCAATAAAAAGAGAAAAGTTTCAGTGAGTGTAGTCAGCAGGCAGGGTGGGTTTAAGGATCCAGGTTCTCCACAGAGAATTGTCCCACAGAACAATAGCCTAGTGGAGTGAATTTGGTGACATAGTAATTGTGCATTCAATCCTTGGGCTGGATAATGTGTACTTGGACTCACTTGGGCTCAGTGAAACCAGGGCGAGCAATACTACAAATAAGAACTAGTTGAGACATACCTAGATATGGGGAGTGGAATGAGTTTACCTCCATAGATTAAATAATGGGTCCAGGTTACTTGAATCAATATACACCTGATGAAGGCCAGAGGGCACAATGAACCGAAACATTGTAATAGCAACAATGAAGATGAGGAGAATACATAACAAGTAAAGAGTGTAAATAATGATAACTCCTCATCCCAGAAATTCAGACGTAAGATATAACTGACTTATTCTATCAAAGTCTTGCATTCATTCCTGACCACTGACAATCCCTTTCTTCCTGATTTTCAATGTATCTATTAGTTAAGTCTTTAGCAATGCATTTATATTATATATATAATATCTCTATTTTCTCAGTAATGCTTGTATTAATTCCTGACCAATGACAATCCCTTTTTTTATTTTTAATGCATTGCTTTAGTAAAATCATTATTCAATAAAACTCAACATAATGCTAGGAAAGTTGGTTCAATGTGTCATGTCAGAATCTATCTTACACATTTATAAGTCTACCATTCAACAATACATTTAATATTGCTGCGACATCTGATCTGGTTTCTTCTACTATGTATTTAGAGATTCTTGATAAAATCCAAAATATCTGCAATGATGTTGGTCCTGACCTGGCATCTCAGCTTAAGTCACTTTTCCACCACTTTAATATAGTTTCATTGTGTCTTTTCTATAAAGATTTTTATGGCAATCATTCTCATAAATTTTCTTCTTTGGTACCTAGATTTTACATATTTAAATGCAGTACTAGATGCGCATTTTAATGTAATGGATATCAGCTCAGAATCCCAATTCCAATCAAGTTTGCTACATTCACCTACACACAAATCCCCTTGGGAAAGATATGAATGCATCTCTTCTCCTCTGAGCTATGGGTTGAATAGCAAGACAGACTAGACCTAATAGCCTTGGTTGGTAACCAGTCTACTGCAGAAATAAATGGCAACCTACTGCAGGAAAATCTACCTAGTCAGTCATGAATTGAAAGAGACATGATTGCCCAAGTGTTTATCATATATGGCACTTTACTGACTGGATGACTAGATTGGCAGCAACGTCTCTCTCTCTGCGCCTGCTTGGTCTCATGCTGTCCATTGACCTGAAGTGGAACAACTACATTGAATCTATAGCTTAATCTACCGCAAGGAAAGTTGGTTCTCTGTATTGCGCTAGAAGGTTTTTCTTGCCTGAATCCATGCTTCAAATCTAAAAATAACCCATTTGTCCTTGTATGGTATATGATCTGGTGTTCCCGCTGTTCATCTCAAGGTCCTCGACAAAATCCAGAGACAGATATGCAATGTGATTGGTCCTGATCTGGCATCCCATGTACAGTCACTTTCTCAAAGATGTACTGTGGCTTCCTTCTGTCTTTTCTAGAAATATTTTCATGGCAACTGCTCTGATGAGCTACTTTCCCTGGTTCCCAAACTGCATGAATTTAAATGTGCTACTAGGTTGGCACCTTGCTCCCACCCTTTCACTGTCAAAATGGCTAAATGTAGCCATCTCTTCTACTCTAACAGTTTCTTATCTCGCACCTCTCATCAGTGGAACTCCTTTCCTATCACTTATTTTCCTGATAGCTATAATCTTCAAATATTCAAATGTAATGTCAATCAACATCTTCTGATGCCTTGACCTTTGATCCCTCTCCTCTTTATCTTTTTCCCAAACATTCCTCTTTATTCTTACTCTCACTCTCTGTAACCCCTTGTGTACTACTGACACTCCTGCCTTGCTTGGAGTGATTTGCTTAAAAAAAAAACAAGAATTTTCTAGATGTAACCATAAGTTCTATAATAACAGTTTCTTCACTTGGGCTTTTCACTTATGGAACTCTCTTCCAGGTTCTTACTTTCTAGTCAACTCTGGTGTTTAAAAATTGAAACACAATGTCAAGTACTAGATTGGCAGCTAGGTCTCATCATTTTGCAGTTGAAATTACTAGATATAAATGTAAGTTCTATGCTAACAGCTTCTTCTCTTATACTTCTTGCTTGTGGAACTCTCTTCCAGATTTTTACTACCCAGTCAACTTTGAACTTTAAAAATTTAAATGCAATGTCAATCACTATCTACTGTCTTCCTGATTAGTTAAATTTAAGTGCAATGTCAAAGGTTATTTTTATCTCTTTAAAATCCTTTTCTTTTATTGTCCTCTCTCCTTAATAATGTTTTTTTCTGATACTCTTTCACTTCCAGTAACTACTTGCATCTTAGTGGCTTTATTGCCTTGCTTGGGGTGAAATGATTAAAAAGGAACTGCTTTTGAACTTTGTCAAGGCTGAAAAGCAAGGACTGGGTAGCATCAGCCCTGATATGGCAGCAATACTCCATTCTTGGTTTGATATGACTTTTAATGAAAACTTAAAAATAGGAACTCTCTTCCGGCCTCTTGCTTTCCAGTCGACTTTGCTCTTCTCAAGTTTAAATGTAATTTTATTGTTCTCTCTCCTTAATAATGATTTCTTTTTTTATCTTCTTTCAAACTCAGTAACCTGCTTGTGTCTTAGTGGCTTTATAGCCTTGTTTTGGGTGAAATGATTAAAAAAAGTTTTTCAGTCAGTTGTTGCTTCAGTCAGTGTTTTCTCAGCCCAATGTTTTGGCCTGTTGCCACATTGATCAACATGTTCTCTGATTTACTACACTTTATTGTCTAATAAAAATTCTTCATATTTATTTAACAATGTTTGGTGTAACGTAATCTTCATCCTCTAAGCATCTGACCTTGCACTGTATTAAGTAAATTCCAATTTCTTTTTAAAAAAAAATCCTTTTTTGAAAAGCCACCACTGATCAGCTTTGAGTTTTTGCTGAAGGTCAGAGGTTACCGAAATATAAGTTAATCTTTTCAATTTCTTTTTTCTAGTTCCTTTCAATCAGATTGGTTTCTTTTTAGTGGCAAGATCTGCTTCTTTGCATCAAGATAAAACATTGAGTTTATTTTTTTTGTATTATTTTCTTTTATTGCAGTCAGCCTGGACTATTTTTTGTGCGTGCATTTGCCATAATGCATCTACAATTAAAGGCTGTAAACAAAAGACTTTGAATATAGAACAAAATCTCAGGTGGTATACCTGATTTCATTGCTACATCAGACTGCAGTCTCCTCAGGTGGGTGAAGCAGGGGGGACCTGAAAGCAAAAAAAAAAAAAAAAATGAAAGAAAGAAGTAAAATAACTCATTTATAGTGTTGAGAAAATAAAAGCAAAATTTTAAACAGAATATCTAACAAAGCTTACAAAAATTGATTGGTTTATTTATTGTTTAAATAACTTGAAATTTTGCATTACGCCTTTTTCTTGTCTATCAGTAAAAACCTTTTTCACATGCAAACATGTTTAGGGCCACATCACATTGAAACACTGGTTCCTGTATGATTACATAAGTTAAGCAATACTGAACCTGGTCAGTACCTGGATGGGCAACCACTTGGGAATGCTAGATGTTGTAATAGATTTTCATATATTAAATATTTGCTAACTCTATTTCCATATATGAAATATTTGCTAATTATATTTTTGTACCTGAAATGTAAACAAAGCGATTTCTAAGGAGTTCATGGAATTTTATTTACAATCTGACAATATTTCTTATTTTATCATATATATATATTTATTATAAATTATAAAGATATTATATACTGACAAACAAGTACTCATGACGAAGATACACATTACATTTGAATATATATATATATATATTTTTGGGTGTGTGTGTATATATAGTGGATGCTGCTGTTATTAAAGCATTGCTCTTCAATTACAAATTGAACCCTCTTAGCTAGTGTTGTTTTTATATTTCTCCTATATAATGTTTAAATTTCCATACCTATATTTAATTTTATTTAGTGTTGGTTGCATTTTTTTTATATAGAGGACTTCAAGAATTTGAAGTTTTTGTTTTTTATTTTCATTGTGGAGTATACTTTCATGTCAATTACTTTGTTTGAAGAGAATATTTTGTCATGTAGAAATTGATGTCATTTTTCAGTTGAACATATGAATATACAATAGTGTTTCTATATTCTTCTAGTTGCTAATGACAGTTTGTTATATATATATATATATATATATATACTTTTATATGGGAGAATAGGATATATAAGTTACTGTATATCAACACAATGCTTAGTAACTCAATGACAGAGTGGAAAAATTATGTGTAAAACATTTCATCCTCTGATAAAGGAATTGGAATTATGAATTATTCCACTTTGTTTTTCAATTGCCTGACACTCTTGTATGTACGGAAGAAAGGTTGACTAAAAATATTTAAAAAATACTTGTCTATAATCTTTGATTTATGCCAGTATTAAAGAAGAACTGCTGCTTAAATACACAATATATATATATACATATATATATATATATATATATATATATATATATATATATATATATATATATGTAAGTATATTTCTCCATATGCCTCAGATATAGATATATATATGTAGATACAGATATATTGTAATATATTTCTGTTGTTCTATTTTAATCCAATCTTTTTTTATCACTTATGAATCATGAAGACATTTAATTACTGATTTTACGAATCTTATTCTAAATTGGAAACCAGTCCTATGATGAAACATCTAACCCAGGCTGGGGCCAGGTACAGAGTAGGTGCTATGAATTGAAGCACAAAATCCATCAGGGTATTTTTCTTTTCATAATTATTCAAGAAGTGTAGTTCCTTTGTTGTTTATTTGCAGAAGTTGTTTTCGAATATTTTTAGACCAAATTTCTGTCTCTATGGAGTTGTTGAAATTTATCAGGTTGGAAGGGTGGAGGAGTTTGGTTTTGTGTCTGAAAAATATATGAATATATGCTAGGTTAATGATGTATGATTGACCTTTAATTATTTAGATTTCATTGAATCAACAAACTGCATTTATCTGAATCTATATCTATATGACAAGTGATCAATTTATTATTATATAAGAGAGAATGTACATAAAGTTCAGCTTTTGTGTGTGTGTACACACACACAGACACACAGACACATAATTGTGTATTTAGCCAGTAATTCCTCTTTTATACATGTTTCATAAATGACAACTGACAGGGTACTACAAGTAAGATATTTATTCTCTTCGATATTTATTTAAATTTTCTTGTATGAACAAGTGTTTCTTTTCTGGACACAAAGTTTGTAAAAATATCCAAAGGTTCTACATTTCTGAGCACTTTCAGCTATTCTTTTAGCTTTTATTTAGGTTGATTTTATTTTTACTATTAACTGAATGTATGGGTTGTGTGTATGCCTCTAGAGTTATAGGGATGTTTTATTTTCCAAACACGGTCAGCACCTTGTGGCCATGTTCATAGTTAATGTTATTTATTATTAGGGCTTCCATTATTTTTTTAATCTTTTTTTACATGTGGATAAAGTTTTTATGCTTGTATTTTCTACTAGTATGTTTTGGATGGAGTCTGTTAGGTTTGTATGTTTAAATGAGTTCTAATGGAGCTGGGGTTGGATAGGTTTAATGTAAGTCATTTGGATAGGCATGTAGCAGTGTGACCAATGTAATTATTTATGGGTTTCGTTTGATCAGGAACACAGTTTCTTAAGGGGAATTTGAACTTGTAAATAATGTTGATTCTTTGTAATTTTGATTTTGTGGGTGTGTTGTTATTTTTTATGACAAGGTTAGCTTTTTTAAATGTTAATAAATGATAATTAATTCAATGTTTTTGCTCAGGTAAATTAGGGTAGTTATGATATTTCTAAGTGAAGATTTATCTTGCTTATATTTGACATGCATTTGGATTTTGTAGAAATTGTATCTGGTGGTCAATGCGATAGTTAGGAATACCATTTTTAACTAGTATTTTGTATCTAAGTGGGCATTAACTCTTAAAATTAAGGTGGCAATATCTTCTACAAAAGCCAAATGAAAAGATAAAAGATAATAAAAGAACAAGGATTAATAAGGCAGATGATAATGATTGATGTTGCATTTACATTTTGGAAGATCAACTCATCGTATATAAAGAAAAGACAAAAGTTGACTTTTTTTTTTTAAGCATTTAACCCCAAGCGAGGCGGGAAGCCACTAGCATGCAAGGGTTTACAGAGAATTGGAGCGAGAACAAAGAGGAGTGATAGAGGAAAGGATGAAGAAAAAGTTAGGGGATAGATCAGGGCATCTGGAGACTTCGATTGACATTACATTTGAATAGTTGAAAATTATAGCTATTAGGAAAACAAGAAATGGGGAGCGAGTTCCACAGGCGAGAAGTGCGAGACATGAAGCTATTGGAGTAGGAGAGACAGCTACATTTAACAGTTTTGACAGTGAAAGGGTGAGAGCAAGATGCTAGCCTAGTTGAGCGCTTAAATTCATGAAGTCTGGTAACTAGCGAAAGCAGCTTATCAGAGCAGTTACCATGAAAGTATTTGTAAAAAAGACAGAGGTAAATTTTCAGTTTGTAAAACAAAAACTTCTTTAGTTTAGTGTTTACATGTGATGATTAAAGAGGCAGATGAAGCAAGAATTTTTAATGGTTTAATGATGAAGATGAAGCAAGAATCTTTAAATTTAATGTAGATGAAGCAATAATCTTTAATAGTTAATGATGAAGATGAAGCAAGAACCTTTAATGGTTTAATGATGAAGTTGAAGCAAGAATCTTTAATGGTTAATGATGAAGATGAAGCAAGAATCTTTAATGGTTAATGATGAAGATGAACCAAGAATCTTCAATAATTGATGATGACAATGAAGCCAGAATCTTCAATAATTAATGCTGAAGATAAAGCAAGAATCTTTAATGGTTAATGATGAAAATGAAGCAAGAATCTTCAATAATTAATGCTGACAATGAAGCAAGAATCTTCAACAATTAATGAAGATGAAGCAAGAATCTGTAATACTTACGCACGGCAGCAAAACAACAACACCACTCATGACGAGTCAATTTTGAATCTCCGTTCCTGTCGCAGGAATCAATAAAAGGTTTAACGCATGGTTCCATGTCATTCTTCTCTATTTTAGACAGTTCATTGTGATCAATATGCTTATCCGAGTCCAGGTCTAGGTGTTTAAACTCCCAAATGATTGAACGGACACAGTGGCATTTGTCTGAAAGGAATGAGAGATAAAAATGGGTCTGAAAAGTTCATTTAGTCAGAGAGTTTTTCTTTCAAGTGTGATATTGAAAAAGTTTTATATGTGCTATTATACTGTAATAGATATTGCACTTAAATTTAATACCAGGTCATCAAAGGAAACCCATTGCAGGGTTGATCTAGTGTTACTCCCAGCCACTGAATGCAAAAGTATGTGACTGGTATTGCAAGTGTGGGAAAGAGTTTGTAATGCACACAGTTATATAAAAACCTCCTTGGGCAGTCTCTCACACATCACGTATGAAATGTAAGGTCCATGTATTGAATCAGGACTCAGTGTGGTGGCTTACAAGACTGGTCAAGAACAAGTGAGGAAATACTGAAGTTAATAAAATGTAATGAATATTAATGCCTCATGTTACCACTTTATTGGCATAAGCCCTTCATACATAGATAAAGATATTTTTTTGACCAAGCTTCCACCAGTCACTATGCCTCTTTCATTATGAAATTAAAACCAATTGAGTGCTTGCAACTACATTCACAAAAAGTAATATATATATATATATATATATATATATATATATATATATATATATATATATATATATATTATACCAGAGAGGTATCATAAATTTTAAAATCAGTCATATTGAATGGTGAAAATGTCAGCAAATATTCCTGTTGCTATGTACCGAGATCTGTTGCACAATATATGAACTTGTATGCAAATCACTAGTGGGACTGAAGTGTCACATATGACACAAATATAAAAACTGAATGAAGTTGTCAGATCCTCATAAGTTAAAATCAACAGGAGAGTCCATCATTGGAAATTGTATGACAAAGTGGGAAAAGTTTACTTGTGACGTGTTTTGTCCTTTAGGACTCCATCAAATTAAATTTGTTACATTAGCAAGACTACACATGCACACCACAGAGGGGTGATGGGAATTTAAAAATTTTTTTTTTTATCTAGCTGAATTTATTTAGAGTCTTTTTTCTTTTTCTTTCCATCCCTAGTAGATGGACTAGTAGATATTCCACACTGTGATATGAGAAGACCTGCCAGGAATGGTGAAATATTATTTCCAATGTTATTTTTAATGGATAAACATATTTGAGAAGAATACCTCAAATACCAGTGTTTAATTCCTCTATAGGCCTCAACATCAAGAAACTGATTAGAAAACTGGAAAAGATCAGTATAAAAATAAGTAGACATAATATATCGATATTATTCAATGAAATATATATATATTCACAATGTCAGATTTTATGATGCAAGTCTTTTCACAATATGTGATCTAAAAGGCAGCTTCTAGGCATTTATAGATTTACTCAATTTCTGAAAGATACATGGTTATTGGTTATTTGTTGTTAAAGTTTGCAAAGAGCTGGAAGCTGCTGACAGGGATTCTGTCACAGTAGCCAAATGTAAAACATTTGCTATTGGTACTAATGCCATAAGAATGCCCAAATTTGTTCAAAAAGTGCAGAAAATTTCTGACAATTTCAGAAAGTCAATTAGCACCATTACTAAGGAATTCAAGATTTCAAGGTACTCTTTTGGAAGAATTGTGCCTGAGAACCTTCAATACAAGTCATATACGATGCAGAGAGGCCAATTCATGTCTGCAAAGATGAAAAATAACTGTCTGATCTGTGCAAAGCTCATGATGAACAAGCTGAAACATCAAGAGACTGGAATGCTTTGTTTTTTCTCTAATAAGAAAAAACTTTGATCAGGACTGAAAGGTTAACTGAAGGAATGACATATGGTCATACAGAGACCTTAAGGACATTGCAATGGTCAGGCACACAAGTTTCCATAAACTGTGATAGTCCTGGGAGTTGTGAGCAATGAGGAAAATGTCATGCCTCCTCATTTCTTTCTTCACTTAAGGATCAATACTGCTGACTATAGGGAAGTGTTGGAGAAGATAGTGAGGCTTTAGATATATAGAATGTGAGCAAAGGAGGATGGTACACCTATCAACAAAACTCTGTGCTGTTTTATAAGGGCAAAACAACCCAAGAATGAATGAGTTACAATCACTACCAATCATGTCTCCCTAAATATATGGCCTAGCTCTATGCTATTGCTATGTTTTTCACGTCCACATACACTCCAAGTCATTTTATTCGCCTGTGATTGGCTAATAAATTACTACTACCTTTGTATAGGACAATTTGGCCATCGAAGTCGTTCCTTTGAATCTTTTGGATCTGAGCACACTGACCTATTCTGTTTAGTATGTGTGTAGTGATTGATTAATTTTTAACCAATCACATATTTTTAATGTAAGATCAAGTTTTCCCACAGTTCCGTGGGAACCTACCTCTTTTCCTTAAATAGGGAGACTTTTCGCAAGTTGCCAGTAAGATCCAGTAAGATCCCAGCTGTCAGCACAAATCCATGATCTTGCTCATCACACTTTAATGCATACACAGACACAGAATTTCGTAACTACAAACTTACATTTTCTCCCTGTAACTTTTGCCAAGCACAATCAACCAGAAATTTGTTGATGCAAACCAGTTTATTCACAACACATTTCAAGCAATTGTATTTGTGGTGTTATTCATTCTTCACATGCAAACTTTGCTCTAACAATTATTTCAGAACATTTATCTCACAAGAGAGCTTTTTTCAAACGGTTGATTACAATCAATCTACAGTCAAAGGGAAACAACTTCCTTCTCTTTAATCTACATTGGGAATACGATTTTATTTCATGCTTGTTGTTGTATTTTATTCAATATATATTTGTTGGTTAACAAATTGGAGTTGTTGCTATTATTTCTTGAATCCTGTACGTGGAAGAATCATTAATATAAATAGTAGTAGTACCTATATATTTGGTGTTCCTGCTACATTTAGTGAATCAACCCAATGCTATATTTGGTATGTATGCTACACTAGAAACCTGACTCCATTGGACTACTCTTTATAGGGCATAATTGAGAAGGGAGTCAATCAATGCCCTCATCATATTATAAAATCTCTGTAGTCTGCATTAACAAGCACAATGTCCAAAATAGGTAAAGATCATCTGATTTAGGCATATTAACGTTTCATCATATCCTGTAATGAAGCAGTCATTGATGCTAATGGCAGATTCCTTAAGTAGATTTACATTTACTCTGTATTCTATTGGTGAGAAGTAAGTTCCACTTGAACAGCTTCTTTCCATGAACCACTGCACTGATCACTACAAGCTTAACCTGTTCAAGTCTAGGGTTAACTGTTATCTTCATATCCTATCTGTATAAACTGCCTCTTAACATAACCCATGACTGGCTCCTGGGCCTTGTACAGGTTGAACCTTACTGTAAAAAAAAAACCAAGACAAAAATAATGTGTCACAAAGAGTCGAAACAATATTCATGCCAATTTTTTCAAATAAATCTCTTCTTTCAAGACTTATGCACTTAAATTCATGCAAATGTCTTCAAGGAACTGAGCAACCCTGTACCATAGGAGCTTCAGATTATAATTCCTCATTTTATTAGAAATATTTACAATAAGTTATTTGTGTCCGATTTTCTGGGATGAGGAGTTGTCATTATTTATATTATTTATATTCAGACTAATGTCCTTATCTTTGTTATTATTTTAATGATTCAGCCACTGTGCTCTTCAGCTTTCTTTGCTTGTAAACCCGTGTTATGATCTGGACTATGATCTTGGATGAAACACTGAAAAAATATTAAGAAAGGTTTTTTCAAAAATTCTGATATTTAGTCATTTAGATTTTGATATGTGAATTGAGCTGATAATTTTTTTAGATTTCTTGTTAATTATACAGGCATCCCTTGATTAATGTGTTTTCGATTAGTATGCTAAAATTTTCATATACCAAAATTCACTTAGCACCTGCATAATACTCTGTTAGTGTGGTAAAACATTCTTCAGTTTAAGCATAGTAATTGAAAATTAATTTTTATAGTCACTGATATACACTAGCCACATTTATTGAGGGATTCCTGTGTTCTACTAGCTGATATAAAGGAGGAAAAAAGTGTTTAAATGTGCATTTGGATAATTTTATTTTTATTAGAATGATGTTAACTTGTACAAGACCCAAGAGCCACTCAAGGTAGACGGTGACAGGTTAAAAAGGCAGAGTTTATGGAGATATGTGGAGAATATAATGGTTAACTCTAGACTTGAACAGGTTAAGACTATAGTAATTAGAGAAGCATCCTCATGGGAGTTAGTTCCACAAAGTAGTGAGCAGAAGCTGTTTGAGTGGAACTTACACCGTACCAATAAAATATGAAGGGAATAAGGGCAGTTTGCTACAATGTGTGTGACATGACAAAACTTAGCCGTGGATGTTAGAACTGGTGGAACTAAGGAATGTAGTTCATTTGAACACTTTCCGTGGAAATAGCGGTTGTGATGTTTTATATATAGGAATGGCTTTGAATAAGAAATCAGTAAAACATTCACTTCTGTTCAAATATTCTTGGGAAACATATGAATCCATCTTCTTCTTTCCCCAGATATAGGTTAAATAATAAGGTATATGGAGACCTGAAGCCTTGGTTAGTGACCAGTCTAAGAGATGGAAAACTCTTATTCCTAAACCCAGATTGATGGAACATATTAGTGTGGGAACACATGATTTTATATTGAAAGAAAAGCCTTGAAAGAAAATCAACCATTCCACAGACTACAGATGTTGGGCATGGGGCCAAGCATTCCTCACTGTAGAACAATTTGATAAGTGAACCCTCACTAAGAGGACTTATGTGCCACAAGGCACCAGGCTGATATAATGAATTCTATACAGTAAATTATGCTATTATCTTTATAACTTTCTGGTTTGAAATAAATTTCTTTTATTTCACTCTAGAGACAGAATCTTATAATCTGGTCAAGCTAAGAGCCATCCTAGACAATAATAAAAGGCTAAATTTCATTACAGGAACTCATCACCACAGACATTAAAAAAGAATAAAAACAGACATGAAAGTAGAACCAAAAAAACATTTTTTAATAAT